CCCCCCCCCCCCCCCCCCCGAATAATATGTATATTCACAAATCATCGAATCATCGAATCGGTGTGTTGCAACAAGAATCTCGACATAATTGACCAGTTTATGACGACGCGGTATAATTCGTCGGGGGAGCAAATGCTCGCGTCTCAATCTAAATTAGAGAGGCGAGATGGAGCGAGTGGCTCAATGAAACCGTAAGTCGCAGCACGCGCCGACGCGACGACGCGTCGTTGCAATCGGGTTGGTTAGGTTACGTAACGCGTGCATTCCTCTTGTACCCTATTAATTTCTCTCGCTCGGCCGTTCTCGTGTCACTGGCCAACCGGAATCGGCGGCATCCGTGCTTTTCGCCTCGTGTCTCGGGGGTGGTTATGTCGAACAAAAGTCGAGCGCACGACCGCCGCTGTTCTGAGGGCTAACCTTAGTAAATACCAACGGCTGGGATCGCTGCCAGATCGCGAAGGTGGTCCGATGATCAAGCATGGCTTCGCCACTCCGCTTCGAGGAAAATCATTGTTTCGTAGTACATGTTTTCATTTCTCGTCCTTTGCCGCAGAATTCTTATTGATAGTATTGCGTTGGCAATTTGAGGCATTTTTGGCGTTAATTGTTAAGAGAAAGAGAGTTGGAGATATATTACTAATAAGGATTGTAGTTTAGGTTTAGAAGAAGAAAGATGCTGATTGAAAAATTGGAAATCTTTGTTCAGAGAGTCAATACTATATTAATAGTATCTATGTTATAACGTGAGGAATTATTGTAGATATCTAGAAATTGGGAGAAATATAAATTTTGAAGGGAATTAGTAAAATCGTAGATTTCCACAACAATTTTTACTTCTCAAATATTGATATTACCGGTGAATATCAAATAATATTTAAATATATAAAAATTGATAGAAATCTGGATTTAAAAATTACTTTTCTTTTCTTTACATTTTTCTAATACCTTTCATACTAATTTATCTTCTGAATAGCGTCATATTAATAATTTTCGATATAGTAGAATATTTAGTTATAGGGAATTATCCCGTAGAATTAGTGAAAATTAAGTTTTTTAAACGGAAAAGGAGCACACAGTGGAATAGTTGACATATTCTACTGGAACCAGACGGAATGTTAAAATCGCGAAAATCCGAGACGATTGTTTTGCGGATTCTGGGTCAAGTACTATAGCGCGGCGAGTCTCGAACCTTGTTTCTCATACCTGGCAAGGTTACCGAGATCGCGGCCGGATTCCAATAAAAGTTTGGCGAACTTTCAGCCATTAGGAATCATTACTATCCGCTTTTGTTCGTCGTACGCGTGAAAATCTTGTAAAAGCTTCCTCTTAGCTTCTTAAAAATTCAACGTCTATCAGCAACAATTTTTAACCATGGATAAAACGTGTTATCACACTGTCGTTCGTATCAAAAAATACAAAGAAAAAAAAAAGTTGGATTGTTTAATGAACGTATTGTACAATCAGTCTTTAGTTCAAATATTTAGAAAAGGTTTTTTTCAAGAAGAAACAAAAATGTCCTTCGACGAAATTTATGAAAGAAAATCGACCAAATTTTACTGCGGAGGATGAAACTATGAATTGAGGATCTAACCTTCGTAGATGATCGGTTCCTTCTCGCGGAAGTAGGTGAGCGCTGGGAAGTTCTTGATGCCATATTGCTTGGCCAGACGTTTGTCGTTGATCTTGACGAAATCTACCCCAAAGTGGTCCGTATCGTCGTCGATCTTCTCCAGTTCGGACAACACCTTGTCACATGTCGTGCAACTTCTCGCATCTGAAACGTAATTGTGACTAATTATCCAGAAGATTCATCGTTCGTTGTAGAATGCTACATTTCGTTCAAACGTCACTAAAAACGTTGGGAAATGTGAGAAAGAATCTTCAAGAGGACTGATCCTCTTAAAACTTGCATTTTATTGAACTTTGAAAATTGGAGTCAAATGTTAGAATTTCTTCAATTTTTTATCGTTTAACCGTGATGTTCAAAGTTCAACAAAATGACGTAGGAAAGAAGAAGACGTACAGTTTTCAGTCTTCAAGGTTCTAGTGGATCTGGCCACGAAAAAAAGTTTGAGACGTTTGAATCTCCTAAAATAATTTTTACCCTTTCATTTTCCCTGTTAAAAAGAACAAAACTGTGGATCAAAGGTCAAAGCTTTACGCCTTGAAGTAAGATCCAATTGATTGTCATATGATTTCCCTTTTTCTTACCAATTTTTTGATCTACAAGACAGAGTATCCACTCTATCCATTCTTTAATCTGTTCGAATCAACATCGACAGTATAAATAATAATCGAGCGAACAATTCGATTCGACAACGTTCGAATGAACTCGTTAGAAACTGGTTGGACAAGTATCTGTGAGGTTAACGATCATTTCGCCGCGGCCAGCGGGGTCCTTGGTGGTGGCCTTGCGTTACAGAAGGAGGAAAACTAATCCTTCTGCCCCGCGAGTTTTATGCTTATCGTCGTTGGCTCGCCAAGCGCTCTTGGCCGGCTCCGATTCGTTCTGCTTCGTCGTGCTGCAGCGGGCAGCTTTACGCGGGTGTTGGGTTACAATCATCGGATACGGACACCGAGACGATATCTCCGTGCACTCTCACCGATCTTAACTCCTTGCGGTCTCGTACGTTCGATTTGACTGGGCAACGATTTAATTTCAGTTAGTTCAATATTGGTTCAATCTGCCTGGACAACGATTTCAATCTCGACGAGCTTTATGTTTAAACTAACAATGATACAATGAGACACGCGTTTACCAATAAGTTTGCCTTTTTATCTTCATTTCTATCTTTTCTCAATTTCTTCGGTACGTAGAAAATAACTTGAGCGATAAAGATGCTTAAAATAATTAGTTTACAATATGTCTAAAGTCCAAAGAAAAGTGAATTATTAATTTATCGTATACTTCTCCAATTTTTTTTTTTTTTTTTTTTTTTTTGAATTTTTGATAATTTTAACGAACGCTCGAAGCAGCGTTCATTAAGGAGATCGGCACCTCGATTCGAAGAATCATTAAAAAAAAAATCATTGTTCCTTGCAAGAAACGCGAAAGAAGGAAGAGGACGAACAGGTGGACGTGGCCATTTTTGGCTACCGCGTCCTCAGAATAGAGCCACAAAGGCTGCGAGAGGTGGATTCGACGTGCTTTCTCTTTCTCTGTTCTTGCCGCCTGCTCAACTACGCTACTGTGTTCTCGTGTTCGATTCTATTTTTGCGGTGGGTACTAGAACTTTTGTGAAGCAACGTCAGAAACAAGAAACGTTGTCTATATGTTTCTGGGTCGCTTCTCTTGTTCATCTCTCCTTTCTTTCAATCGGTTTTTCTTCCCTTTTCACGTTGCACTCCCATTGGGAACGATATCGTTAAAACGAGCTCGTTTAAAGCCTGGTTACGTAGGCATTACACCCCCGCACGGTAAACCGAATGTAGCTTGGGGAAAGAGAAGAAGAGAGCGAGAGGTTCGTTGAAAAACGTGTGCCAGTTAAATTGGACTGATTCCACTTGCTTCTTATACTCGTAACGGTGGAAAGAAGAAAGAAGAAATTGTAAGAAACTGTGCGGTGATTGTTACGACCGATGATTACGCGACAGCCTTTCTGCTCAAATTCCCGTTTTGGAAACAAGTTTCGAAGTAGAAATAAAATCGTAAAAATTCTTTTCATATCCTTGGCATTTTTTGTTTATTTTTCGAATTTTTAGCTCCTTAGTCTAGAATTTTTAAACTAAGATTTTCTTGTTAATCCGGCACGAATATAGAAGAAAATAAAATGAGCAATTACAGGAAAGACGCATTATCGTTATGTAATGTATTAATTCGATATAAATATAGGAGAAAATATTTAGCAATTATGGGAAATGAAGTTAAAATATTTCCTGTTTAAATATTATATTAATTCGATGTAAAGGAAAATATTGGAGTTTAGTTGTACTAAACAAAGCTCTTGAACAAATTGTTTTTTATCATTGTGTATCATGGAAGATTGTAATATCAGTGTACAATAATCTTTGCAGATTCGCTGAGTGCGAAAACGATCTCGATCCCATCCTCCCGGTGAAGCAGAGACTCGCAAACAAATATAAATAGAGCGACACAAAACAATTCTATTTTTATTTCCTATCGTGTCCACCCACTCGTTTCACTCGTTCCACTCCTAATGATACGCTGAAACTCGATTTCACGCCCATCGTATCGATCATCGCGATTTCCTCACCGCCCGTGAATCATACTGCCCTGCAAATTCTACCTAGTCTCCCACTGTCTAATTGCTTTCACGGTGGTGATAGTTGTGGATTAATTTCAGATTATTTAAATTATTTATTACAGATATTTTACAATTGGAAATTAAATTCCACTCTATCTGAGTAATTTTAAATTAAGAATCACTTAGTTCTTCTTTCATCTTCCACCAGTTTGAGAATTATTCGATCATTGACCAGTTTTCGACTGATTAATTCCCAATTCGTTCAATTACATAATTTATAATTCTATATTAATTTCCTATTATTTTTCAAGTTACAGATTTCCAATTCCTTTACCACCTGTATCTCTCTTCATCGCTTTATGGTGGGGATTGAAATTGTTTTACAATTGCAGCATCTGCATGAATATTTTTCAGCCCGAAGTTCCCCCTTTCCCCTTTCAACAGCCCCAAGGCGAAAAATGTATCCGAGAAGATACGTTTTCACAGTTCGAGATGCAAAGTGAAACGTCGCGATGGACGGCGAGGTCGTTCGTTCACGTATTTTTAGTGGCTCGTAAACTAGGCACTGACCGTCGTTCGATCACGTCGTCTCCGTTTCTCGCGGTAGCAGGGTCTAGCCTTCTTTTACGTGCTCGTGCGCACACCTAAGTGTGCTCCCTCCACGATTTCGCCACCTTGAAATATTGAAGAAGAAGGCACGTGGATCAGACGCGATTACATCGGAGAAATGTCCCTGAGGATCGGCAGCTGGGTATTCTAATTCTAATAAGAGCATTTCCACTACAGTCAGGCCTAGCGATGGACAAAGCTAATAACGAAACTCCATGTTTTCTGTTGTATGAACACATTTTCTACAGGAGGAACAGTTCGAATGTTTTGCTAAACTGTGTTTAGATCGGTGTCTTTTCTTACTGGACGTGTTTTGTTCTCGACGATTAAGCGAGATTGATGATGATAGACAGCCACTGCGATTCGAATGAATGCCTCGTTGAGGAAGTGAGAGCCTTTAAATTCGGCCATTAGTTTTTCAGCCAACGCGCGGTTTGTTCAGTTTGAGATGACGAATACGGTTTTATTTAGTCTAGTTTTAGTAGCGAAAGCTGAGCGAGGAAATTGCAATGAATTGGAACCTATGGCAGAAAATATGGCAATTACAAAGAATCGCAAGAAACATAAGAGCTGCAAGTAGCAAGAAGTTAATAGAATATTACGAGTGCAGAAAAATTGAGATTTATATCCAAATCCAGATCAGAAATTTTCAAAAGAGAGCAGAAAATTCAAAAATCTAGGGGATGATAAATTGCCAAACAATATAATACAGGTAGAATTGAATAAATTCTATCTAATAAAAATGAAGAAATATGATAATATTGCCTTAACGTAATCTTGTAATTATAAACTACATACAAATTCATTCTCTAAACGTTCTTTAAGAATAAAAAGGAGTTATCCTTGATAACTGAATACACTGCAGAAAATTCAAAAGCCCTTTCAATAATTACTTTTTCTTTTTCTCAGGCAAAGGGAAAAAAGGGGAAAAAGTGCGCGCTCGATGGTTTTATTTATACCGGAAGAAGCATTCGAGGCATATCTTCAGGGTCCCAGTCCGGTTCTAAAGATAGCCACTCAATCGGCCGTATTTCTTGTCCCGCGTAGATCGCGTGGGTCGCGATTGTGTCGTGTATTGGTGAGTTTTGGTAGCGTGAACCAACGATTTGGGACACGGGATGGGTGCTCGTGGGAGCTTGAGCCGCACCTCGCGATCAGGTACGACCCGATTGAGTTGCACGATCCCATCATTGGGGCTGTTCCAGCACGTGACGCGATTATTTCCTTCTTATACGGTGCAAGATACACACGTGCTTTATTTATGCCCGTTCGTTTGAACGTCAGTGTATCAGACGTATAAAAATTCTGATTGGTGATGAGTGATCACTGTTGTCTTTAAATTGGAACGATCGGTTGAGTTGTACGTTTGTCTCTGTAATTGTTATTTCATACATCTTACTAAATAATAAAAGTAATTTGTAGGTAGATATATTTGCGCGGAGAATAAATTTACGTGGCCATTGAATAAGGATTTTGTTTCGCATGAAAGGAAGGCCTTTGTGGTCTTCAAATTGCAATAATATTGAGTCGAGTCGTGGTTTCAAAAAGTCTGGAATTGCAAAAGATGTAACAAAGGAAAAAGATATATAAAATAGCGGGACTATATTTGAAAGGAAGTTTACGGTACAGAGGTTTAATTGAAATACTCGAAAATGAATTTTTGAAATGAAAATGCAATTTGGGAATAATATCAATTTTCTAACACCAAGGTGTAATGACCTGTACAAACATTATGGTAATTCTTTTTATAAACGTCTCTGTTATATTTTATAATCAAGCTTATGTGTTTAATCAATTTCTGTCTGTTTTCCTTCGTGGCAGCTGACTTTGCACGTCTGCAATCGTTTTATTACTAACTTACACTTTCAAACATTAAATAAGCTTCGAGTGTAACATACTTGTGACAAACATAAATAAATTGGACAAACGTGAAAACACTGTACGCGATGAAGTGATAA